ATTTATTTTTGTCTTTTTGAGACAGGGTTTCACTATGCAGTTCAGGCTGGCCTTGAACTCACATTGTAGCCTGGTTGGCCTCGAACTCACAGTAATCCTACTGTCTCAGCCTCCTGAGAGCTGGGATTATAGGTTTGCACCACCATGCCCAGATTTTTTTTTTTTTTTTGAGACAGGGTTTCGCTATGTAGTTCAGGCTGGCCTTGAACTCACTCTGTAGCTCAGGTTTGCCTTCAGCTCCTGGTGATCCTCCTGCCTCAGCCTCTTGAGTGCTGGGATTACAACTAGCTAGTCTTCTAATGTCTCACCTTGAAGTATAAATTAATTAACCAAGATCACATACAGCCCAGCCAGGAAAGAGCTGAGATCTGAACCTTGGTTGTTTGATTTCAAATCTGAGTTCCTTACCATGGCACCAGACTGCCTCTCCAGAGCTGATGCGTCTCTGCAAGAGACCATCCCCAGCCACGAGAGCCACAGGCAGGCGCTCCCTCCGATGATCACTGCTGGAGTGTGGGTCCTGTGCATTGTCACCTGACACCATTCTATGGCAGAGACCCCAAATCTGATCTCAGAGATCAGATGAGGGCCAAGAGTGAGAGGCTCTAATTTGAAGTCAGGACCCCTGAGTTCAAATTCCTGAGTGTAAACAGAATGGCTAAAATTAAAAAGAATGTAAATTGGTAGAACCCCTTTGAAAAACCATTTGGCAGTACGAGACAAGCAAAACCAAAGCAAAAACCCCTCAAAACCACTCCTGGGTGCACATGTGTACCAAACAACACATGCAGAATTCTTCACAGCAGCTTTATCTAGAATAGCCCCAGATGAAAACCAACTCAATCACCCATCAACAGTAGAAAGGCTAATCTGTGGTAGTTCCAAATAATGTTACACAGCATAAAAAAATGAACTTCTGATACAGTAACAAGGATGAGCCTCAGATACAATGCTGTGCAAAAGAGGATATATGTCTAATTTCATTTTTATAAAATTTAAGAGCAAGCAAGGTGGGAGTGGCACACGCATGTAATCCCAGCACTCAGGAGGCTGAGGCAGGAGGATTGCTGTGAGTTTGAGACCAGCCTGGGCCACATAAGGTAGTTCAAGGCCAGCCTGCACTGCATAGTGAGACCTTGTCTCAAAACGACAAAAAACCAAACAACAAACAACAACAAAACTTGTGTCTGTGTTGATACAAGTCCACACAGCGGTTCTGAGGGACTGTCAGTAATCAGAGGAATGAAGACACTTCTGGGAAGCTGGCAATGTTGTGTATTTTTTTTTTTTTTTTTGGTGCTGGGGATGGAACAGGAGACCTTGCATATGCATATGCATATGTCTATATCTTGACTTAAAAGGTGACTGCTTACATATTTATATATATGATGACTCCTTGCTCTAAAAATTGATGTACACTGCTAAATGTATGCTGTCTCTCAAAGTTAAGGAAAAAATGAAATGGCTAGTAAGGACAGTTCCTGGGTCTGGTGGAGAACACTTTTTGTCCTCTAACCTGGTGAGAATCTTACAATTTTTTTTTTTTTTTTTTTTTGAGACAGTCTCACTTTGTAGTGCATGCTGGCCTTGAACTCACTATGTAGCCCAGGCTAGCCCCAAACTCGTGGTGATCCTCCTGCCTCAGCCTTCCAGTCAGGGGATTACAGGAATGCACCACTATGCCTGGCTACAAGAACTTTAAAGTTTCCATTAGCAATGGAGAAAAGTTCATTTTCCACCATACCCTCACCAGCATTTGTTACTGATTTCTTGATGATAGCCATTCTTTTTTGGTGATGAAATTTCCAGTGTTTTAATTTACATGTCAGATGCTCATTTTTGGACTGTTTTTAAATCTGGGTGGGGGGGGTCCTGATTTTTTTGAGTTCCTTATATATTCTAGGTGCTAGCCCTTTGTCTCAGTAGCTGGTGAAAAAATTTTCCCACATTGTGCATTGTCTCTTCACTCTGTTGGTGGTTTCTTTTGCTATGCAAAAACTTTTTTTTTTTTTTGTCTTTTTAAGACAGGGTCTCAGTATGCAGTTCAGGCTGGCTTTGAGCTCACTCTGTAGCCCAGGTTGGTCTCAAACTTGCAACGACTCTCCTGCCTCAGCCTCCTGAGTGCTGGAATTATAGGCGTGCACCACCATGCCTGGCTGCAAAAAGTTTTTATGTGATCCCAGTTGTTGATTCTTTGTAATATTTCCTGTGCTGGAGGTTTTGTTTGTAAAGTCTTTGCCTACACCTGTTTTCTTTTTGAGACAAGGTCTCACTATGTAGTTCAGACTGGCTTTGAACTCACTGTATGTATCCTAGACTGGCCTCAAACTCAGTGATCCTCCTCAGCCTCGATAACTGTTTTTTTTTTTTTTTTTTTTT